TCATGTCCTGTCTGAAAGGAAGGAAGTGATATTAACAACGACACTGGTGGTAATGAAATTTTCTCCCTTAGAGAAGCTTTCATCATGGGTGGTATATAGTCTTTAATCAAGAACTTGGTAAAATCTTGAACTACTTTGAAGGCTAAAGTGTGTTTCACCTCCCTGTATCATAGCTAGGCCTTGCCTTGAATATTGGTTACAGCCATGGAAAAGATGTTTCCCAAACTTTGTCCAGTATTCACAGAGATTACGTCTCTGTTTCATGTTTCCCAGGCTTTCTAGGAAAACCTAGAGTTTTGTGATGGAGCAGCTGTGTGTGCACATGTCACTTGTACTGAGCAACCCCCAGCATCACACTTGGGTCTTAGTTTCCGCTGAGTACTTGGATTCTGCACATGACATGCCCTGCTTTCCTGGAAAGGGCTGGTCTTGCATGAGCCCAGCACTGTGTTGGTCAACCACAGCTCCTTTTCTTCATTCTAGGAAGCAGAGAAACAGGAATGTTCCTTATTCTCAAGAATAACATTTTTTAAGGGTACTACTGAACTTATTTGTTGTTTGAAGAGTCACATTGTTTAAGAAGAACTGTATTGGAAATCAGGAATCTTGTTCTTGGGTCTTGACTCTGTCCTCAAGTAGATGAGACTACTTGGGTGGGTTTCGTGTTCATCCATAGCATGAAGGAATGTGAGAAACTGACATTATGTCTGGCATTCTGTATAATTCTATGTCACCCATCAAACTGGTGACATAAATTAATGGTTAACTCACTTGGAGAATTTATGTGTATGGGTATTTTCATGTATGTATATTTGTGGACCACATACATGCCTGATGCTTGTGGAGGTTAAAAGAGGTATTTGATCCCTGGAACTGGAATTACAGATGGTTGTGAGCTGCTGTGTGTGCTGGGAAACCAAGCCTGAGTCCTCTGAAAGAGCAACAAGCGTTCCTAACTGCTAAGCTATCTCTCCAGCTCCTCACTATATAATTTTATCAATTAAACTCCAGTCTTCTTTGGGTCCAAGTCGTATTTAAATGTGAAGATATACCCTTTCTTCAGTCCTAAATTAGAATTTTCTGTTCAGCTCCTGTCTCCATAAATTTTTATTTTGTTCAATCTGAACATTTATTCTTGTCTCCAACATTTATTACATTTTTCCCAAAATTGTTTGGTTAGATAATATTTTTGACCTGTGTACTATGGATTTCTGTTTGGGATTATAACTATTCAATTGTCAATGAAAATTATTTGTCATACTAATATCAATGTTGGAAACAAAGGGATGTGTTTTTAAAAATATCACATGAAATTTTTTCAAAATAGAGAGATTGAGTGGTTTTGCATGCCAATGAAAATAAGTTACAAATTGAGTATTTTTTCCTAAGCAAATGATGCAATCCATGGATGTAGTAAGAAAAACAACAGTATTGGTATTCATACCTTAGACATAGTGTATTCATCATCATGAAATGCACAAAGGGGAAAATTGATCATATTTTACTGAAAATGTAAATGAATTAACAGATAATGCCCACCTGAAGTCCATCAGAAAGATCCTTTACATGATCTCTGCACTGGTAATTTACTATTTTACCAGGCTCATTTCCAATGTTAGGGCATTACTTACTAAATAAAATATATGATGTCATCCTTGAGACACAATGCTAAAGGCAGCCTTCAGAGCAAAGTTCTGGCAGTTTAACAAAGTAACGTGCACTTAAAAATAATTTTCTTTTTTTTTTTTACTTAACAGAAGTATTATCTTTACTTCACAAGTAAGTAAACTGAGGAAAAAGCTAGAAAATGATTCATGAAATGAAATATAAAAGCTTAAAAAATAAAATGCTTATATATACATATACAGACACATGTGTACATGTGTGTTTGTGTGTGTTTAGCCTTAGTAGTCACAGTACATTGATTTCTACACCACCATTGCCCAAGTCAAGAAGCAGATTGTGATCAGTACCTAAGCACCTCCCACCTGCCTGGCTCATGTCACCCTCTTTGTGTCATCATCCCCTCTCTGAAGTAACTGTCTATTTTATTTTATTTGTTTTAAAAGTTCTACTTACATTTATTCCTTTGGGAGGAGATGTGTGTGTGCTCATGCAATGGCACAAACGTGGAAGTCTGAGTTCAGCTCATGAGAGTCACATTTTCCCTTTCACCATGTACATCCCAGCAACTGGACTCACATCATGAGGCTTGGTAGCAGGTGCCTTTACCAGCTGAGCCATCTCACCTGTTGCTTAAGTACCTGTTCATTTCACCAAACTGCATGTATCCTGGGATTTTTTTCCATTGATATTATCATGGTAAAGTTGATACACAAACTTAGGGAGTTCAGTTTATTTGTTTCCCCCACTATTTTATCTTCTCTTGTTTGAGCACAACTCACATTACTCATTCTTCTGATAAAAGTATTATTCTCCTGATAAAAGTATAGTTTGGCCAAAATATCAGTTTTTCATTTCATTTCATTTCAATATTTAACGACCAAATACTCAAATCATCATTCTGTTATGTTTTGACTGACTTGGTAGAATTATATTTCCCAAACGGTTCAACAATACCCTTAAATACAGATAGTATAGGAAAAGAGAAATGAAAATGTGTGTTTGTCATCCTCCTAATCTCATTAAGCTGAGCCGTGGTCTAGCCTGTGTCAGTAGCAGCAAATTTGCTATATCTGATAAAATAACCCCAATTGAGCAACCTTGTATTTCTTCATCCATACTTATTTGGCTTTCTTGTGTAAAATCTCACCCGATTAAGCAGACATACTGGATTTTGTTATAAATAATGGCTTCTTTGCCATGTGCTTAGTGTTCTTATAGTAGGTCCGGAATCATGAACCAGGTATTCATACCTGGTGCATGATTTGCTCACAAATGAAAAGCAGCATGCTCACTGGCTTAAGACAGGGTAATGCTAATTGATGTGTAAACGACTTCCTGAAAGCCAGGCATTCCCCCACATGACATGCATGAAGTCATTTGGCAGATGTCTGTCTTCTTCAGAGTGTCAGCTTGACAACTGATATTTCTTGATTCTCTGGCAGAGCGTTAGTTGAGGCAAAGAAAAAGGAAAAAAGAACATGGCCTCCTCCTTTCAGCACTATGACAGTCATTTATGCTTAGATTGTGGTAATGGAGGCTGAACCTAGGGCCTTGTACTTGGGGAGGTAATCATTTTATCACTGAGCTATCTATACCACTATCTCTCCTGCATGTGTGCTCTCTAATGCTCACATCCCTCTGCTGCTGCTTATTTTCTTATTTTGAGACAGGGTCTCACTAAGACCTAGGCTGGCCTTAAATTTACTCTGTAGTCCAGTTAGGCCATTGACTTAAATTTTTCCTGCTTCAGCCTCCTGGTTAGTTGGGATTATAGGCCTATATCACCAGGGACAATCAAACTTTATATTTAAAATGCTTTTAATTAATCAAAAGTTTGCCTTATTAGTCAAAGTATTACATATATACATATGTATATATATATATATTCTGTGTATATATATACATATATATGTGTGTATATATATATATATATATATTCTGTTACTCTATATGTACATAATTGCCTTGTAGTTGAGCAATGAGGGCCGACGTTTTGTTTTTGTTTTGGGGATACTGGGGTTGAATCTAGAGATCAGCCTCACCCTTCCAGAAAGTTCACTAATGCCATCTGCTGGAATCATCGCTGCATTTCTTTATTGCATGTCCATGGCTCCGAGATAGCACAACCTTTGAGTTGGTAGGACTAAATTATCTCTCAAATAATGAACTTGAGACTGTTTACCAGAGCTTGTATTTCCATGTGTTAGGCATGTACAAGTGATTTTTAAGAGGTTGAGGCCAGATGAGGGAGGGAGGGTGGGATTGGGAGGGAATGAGGGTGGGGGCTACAAGTGGGATACAAAGTAAATAACCTGTGATTTATATAAAAAATAAAAATTAATAAAAAAAAAGAGATTGAGGTCGCCATCATTTCATGAAATGGTGTGTAGTTTTCACATATCTCCTTCCTGGAATGTTTCTAATGTTCATCTCGATGAGGTTCTTGTAAAAGGCAAGGACATGGCACGTTGCTGGCCTCTGCATCACCTATAACCCATCTAAAATGATGGGGAAAGGTGCTTCAGAAAAATAGGGAGACTTGGGCTGGTGAGATGGTTCATAAGATAGAGTCATTAGATACTAAGCCCTTGGCACCTTGGGACCAATCCTCAGAATCCACTGAAAGCTGGGAAGAGAGAACACACTTTATAGAGTTGACCTCTGACTTTGCTCACACTCTGTGGTATGTTTACACATACGTGTAACACAGCATGTGCATGTGTACCCACATACAGACTGATTTTGTTTTCCAAACAAAAGGGAGCTATTGTAAGACACCATACTAGTTTTAAAGAGTTGGTCAGCTACCACATATGTTGAAAACAGGTTCTTGATGTTATTAATAATTACATGTCCAATGTCCCTGCCTCTATAGCTGTGCTGTGGCTTCCTATCCTTCAGGTTTAAGTTTTCAACAAGTGCTGAAAGGCCCAGAATGAGCTATGCCTCCTCCCCAGAAGCTTTATACATTGTTTTTCTCCTTGCTCACTTTTCTGGTGCTGCACTGAGGCTAAAACAGGGCAGAACTTTCAGCTTTCCCTATGCTAGGGTCTCTCTACATAGCGTGATGTTCTATAGTCAAGTACCTTGGGTAAAGTACTAATTCATTCAAGGTCTGAGCTAAACAATGACTTCTTTAGGAAATATGTTCCAAAGTCCCAGCCCTGGCCTTCCTAACGTGTCCCATCCTATAATCAGATAACTACTAATGTTGCTAGTCATTTCTCTCACCATTTAAGCCTTTGAGTTGGGTATCTGGCTGGTTTAGCCCTCTGAACTCAAAGCGTAATGAGGCCTTTAGTGTTTAATGAACACTGTTGTTGGTGTCACTGTTATTGTTGCTGAAGTTCAATTACATTTTTTTCTCTCTTTAGCTGGGAAGTCATCAATTCCAAGCCAGATGAAAGACCCAGGCTGAGCCACTGCATTGCAGAGTCGTGGATGAATTTCAGCATATTTCTTCAAGAAATGTCTCTTTTTAAACAGCAGAGCCCCGGCAAGGCAAGTTTTGAAATACTCAATGTAACTTGGGAACAAATGAGGTGACTTGTTTTAGCTGGTAAAGACTTTTTAATTTGAGCATTCTATAGCATAAGAGCTGCCTTCAACAAGGCTCAGACATGGTCACATGTGAAACTTGGGCATTTATATAAAATAGAGATTTATTGAGCACATTACTTAGAAGGAATTGAGTTTGGGCTTTTCCGTACTTAAAACCAAAAAGGAACAGAAAGGGGTATCATTAAGAACTTTGATTTTCATCTGTGGTCTGTTTCTGAAGTCAAAGGCAGTTGAAATAAACACACAGCTTTTAGGGTGTCAGAGGTAATCGAGTCTCACTTGCAATCTAAATATGTAGTAGAGGCTATGGTTTGGCTTATTTTTAAGGAAACTTTCAGAGTGTAGTGATCACAGTGATCCCAACACCCGGATAGGTAAGAGGATCATGAGTTCAAGGTTAGCTTGGGCTACACAGCAAGGCCCCCCATCCTGGAACATCAAAAGAGAGAAAGAATGAAGAAACTAAACAAACTTTGGCAAGAACATTCCTTGTGAATACACAACTGGAATAGGGTAGGTTTTGTTTTTTTCTGATTAAGATGAAAACCCACTCATGGAAGAGTCTCAAGTGATGAAAGGGATTACATAGAGAAATGCACATTTGAAGACTGTTATCTGTGGCTTTGTTTGGGTGAGGTGCAGGGCCATCAACAGACCTTGCTGGTTTCCAGCACTGTTTTTAAGTTTAAATTGTCCACCAGTACTAAATTGTCCAGATAATTTAGTAGAGTTAGAAATATCCACTTTAAGATATGCTCCATGTACTATGTACAGGCAGTCTTATAGCTTTACCAATATCAACTATAAAGGAGCACTTGGGAAGGCATATTGAACTGGCAGTTTTAGAATTGATACACACATGGGGACATGGCAGATTTTAGTGCTGATTTGACCATCATGACATGACTGTACATATTTTTGGAAGATTCTCAACTTAAAATGTCTGCTTTGGATTGCATTAATATGCTCCAAGGCCATTAGCTAAAGCTTACGATACTACAGAACATAGGCGACTACAAATCCCTTTGTGAACTTTCTTCTGGGTGTAGTCATGTCTTTCTGAGACACTTCTGAGACATCCCTCCATTTCTAGAATTACAAATTCTTTCAAGGGCCCATGTTGTTTCTGAAATAGGCTCCTAGCTTTGTTCCACACATTTGTCTACACTCTTCCTTAGCCGCATGGCATGTAATAGCAGGTAATGTGCAATTGAGAGTCCTTGTTCTTTGCCTTAATCAGTTTTTGGTCAGAGATATGTATCTCTTCCTATTTTTTGAAAGACCCCTCAGTGAATTTGTTTGGCAGTTAGGCCCCATATGAGGAGAATGTAGGAAACAAGTGAAGATTTAAAATAGAAAACTTCTCTCTCTTGACGTTTCCCATGTGGATCAGGACAGGTTTCTGTGGACTGTTTAGAACTCTAAGACAACCAAAGACTGCATTTGCTTTGTAATTGAGAGAGGGAGGGAGAACAATTAGATTTCACTGCAGAAGTTTCATTTCACTTGCATTTAGTTTTGAGGTAACCTATATGTGGATGGATACAGTCTGGAAAGGTTGTGAAGCTATGGGTGCATGCCAGTGGTTTACAGATTACATCGGATTCAGACAGGTGCTCCAATAGCATGTTTGTATCTGTCTATGGAGTTCAGCAGTTTCTTGGTACTGGCTCGAAGGTGCAGATTTACTTAGCTGAGTAAAAGTTGTTCCTGGGGACATGTTACTATTTGAGTCTTTTGCACCTGGCAGCAATACATCAACACAGCCAAGTAAGGGGAGTTGTCATTCTTAGTACCAGAATTAGCTCCTCTGCCGGCAAAATGGTTATTATGAACCAAGTGTAAAGAGTGCTGCTGGAGAAACATGTGACATACATAATGGAACACAAAGAGATACATACCATGCGTGTATTTTACGGCGTCTCGCTGCTGTGCATGACTGTCTCATGCTATTTCTGTTACTTCTAGTTTTGTCTCCTGGTCTGCAGTGTGTGCACATTTTTTACAATCTTGGGAAGTTACATTCCTGGGGTCATACTCAGCTATCTACTGTGTAAGTATGGTTAAAAACACTTTGTAATTTGTGTGATGCATATAGCTTCCTCATTGCTTATGAGATCTTCTGTTGTTTGGAAAAAGGTGAGCTCTGAATTACCAAATAAGTCTCCTGAACTTGTCGCCTAGAGACATTATATTTAAACAACTGGTAGAACAGATGCACAGTTACAGGATCACAAAAATAATGTTAAATTGTACCCTCTTGCTTGTTCATGGTTGGTAGTTAGAATGGTGCAATCATATCAGAAAACTGTATGGCTGGCCATCCCAAAAGTTGGTATTTGACCAAGAGAATATATAGAGACATCTCTGCAAATATTTCTACACAAATGTTCATAATTTGTGTGATAGCACACAAATTATGTGTGCTATCTTTGAGTAGCACAAGAAGTACAATTCATCTGAGCCTTACTGAGACAAGGATAAACTGTGTTATATCCATATAAGGGATTATTACCCAGCACTCAAAATTGATACATGCAATACTATCGATAAACTCCAAAGTAATTAGCCTGAATCGAAGAAACCAGAGCATGTACTGTATGGTTCTATTTATACATAATTCTGGAACATTCAAAATAATTGTTAGTGAAAAGTAGAGCAGTGGTTGCTACGATGAATTGGGTGGGGTCAGGGAGAGGCCAGAGGCAAAAAGGAAGCATTAATAAAGCCATGCGAAAACTTGCTTGCAGTAAACTGTTTACTGTCTCGATGGCTCCAAGGACTCTTAGTTGTTTACGGATCAGAACTTAGTAAATTGTACGATTTGTGTCATTTGTTATATATGATTTATAACCCTAAAATACATGAAGATCTGGCTGCTGTTAGCTTTGCCGGGCAGTTACCTCTGCTAACCCCACATTTTTTTTCTTATACTGGCGTTTGTGTTTCACACGCTGTCCACTGGCCTCTAAAGATACCTGTGTAAGGGAGAGTAGTGCTCCACAACAGCAAAACAACCACCGCTGAAGATACAGCACAGCCAGGGAGGCGCTCTTCCCTTCTCTTGTATTCCTGAGGCACGGCACACCTGCGAAATGGTTGGAGCTCAAATTCTGCCGTTCAGATGGAATTTGTAGGAGTTACTTGATCTGCGTTATGTAGGATACGTGAGAAAAGGCCTGGCAAAGGGGAAAGAGGAGCAAGGCATCCTTCCTCTTGTTTGTGCTGAGCTCAACTGCATGCCCGGCAACCCCACAGAATATCATCTCAGTATCACTGCAAAGATGCTCATAATGGGTAATCACTTTCTCATGGTGAATGGCAATACTAAAGGAGGCAAGATTTTAGCCTAGCACAGTGGCCGTAACCTCTTAAGTTGTTAGGGCAGAGAATTAAGAGAAGAAAATCAACTTAATTCCAAGTTAAAAAAGATTAGCTGGGGTATAGTGTGTGTGTGTGTGTGTGTGTGTGTGTGTGTGTGTGTGTGTGTGTGTGT